AGGCAGGAGGACGAGGGACGGACCCCGGCCTCCGTCATGCCGGCGCCCGCGCGCCGCCGCCGGGGCGTGCGGAGGCGTGGCTCGCGTCACGAGCGCCGCCCCGGCGGGTGGCATCTGCGGGGGGGGGGGCGCGGAATTACTGCTGCCGCGGCCCCTTCCCCTCTCTTCCTCCTCTCTTTCCTTTTCCTCCTCTCTTTTCCTCCTCCTTCCGCCTCCTCCTCCTCCTCTCCGCCTCCTTCCTCCTCCTCCTCCTCCTCCGACGTCCTCCCCTCCTCCATCCGCCTCCTCCTCCTCCTCCGCCTCCTCCTCCTCCCTCCCCTCCTCTTCCCTCGCTCTTCCTCCTTCCTCCTCCTCCTCCTCCTCCCTCCGCCTCCTCCACCTCCTCATCCTCCTCCTCCCCTCCTCCTCCTCCTCCTCCCCCCCTCCTCCTCCCCTCCTCATCCTCCTCCTCCTCCTGCTGCCGCTGGTCCTCCACCTCCTCCCTACTCCTCCTCCTCCTCCTCCTCCCTCCTCCTCCCTCCTCCTCCTCCTCCCCTCCTCCTCCTCCTCCTCCTCCTCCTCCCCCGCCTCCTTTCCTTTTCCTTATAAGCAACTTTTCCCTGTCGCGCCCCGAGGCCAAATCTTAGGGCGGGCCGGGCGTTTCGCTGGAGACTTCCTCACCATTCATGATTCTGAAGCCTCAGCAGTGGCAACAGCTTCACAGATGGAGGGCGGGCGGTTTTCAAAATGTGGCTCTCGCCTGAGTGCCGCGCACATTCGTTTTGAACATTACAAGCGTGTTACGGATTGAGAATCACGCGTTCTTAAAATGTGGCCCTCGCCTTAGCGCGGTGCACATTCGTTCTAAACAATTGCAGGAGGTTCACGGATTGAGGATCACCCGTTTTCAAATCGTGACTCTCGCCTTCGCGCCGCGCACATTCGTTTAATCAAATTGCAAGAGCTTCACGGATTGAGGGCGGTTCCTTTTCAAAATGTGGTTCTCGCCTTGGCGCCGCGCGCAGTCGTTCATAGAACTTACAAGAGTTTCACGAATTCCTACGATCAACGTGCCAGAAGCTGTGTTTTGGAAGGGGTCAAGATCTTGTGGGCGCAACAATTACGTTGATTCGCGGAGTTGAAATCTCAAGAACGGCGTTCTGGCACGATCCAAGATCGTCAAAACGCAACAATCAGGTTGATCCGTGGCGTAGGAATCCCGAGAACAATGTTTTGGCATGCTTCCGGGTCTTCAACATGTTGTCGTCCAACGAGGCAGATCCCTCAATGGAAATGAACCGTAGTAGAGGCCCATGAAAAAGGGAGCTCGGAGGGAGGGTGTATTCCAACATCGTTGATGACTCTTGGGGTTACACTGGTCCTCCTCCTCCTCCTCCTCCTCCTTCTCCTCCTCCTCCTCCTCCTCCTCCTCCTCCTCCTCCTCCTCCTCCGCCTCCCTCCCCCCGTTCCCCTCCGCCCTCCCCCTCCCGCTCCTTTCCCTTCCTGTCCCTGCTTCTTTCCTCCCTCCTCCCTCCCTAGCCGCCGCCCCGGTTCGAGAGTGGTGAGGGACCACCCTCTGCGCACCCCCTATGGCGTCGAGAATGTGCCACGCCTGCTACGCCGTGGACGACCGTGACGGATAGCGGCCGCGCTCAAGGACCGCCCCCTGCGCATCCCCTATGGTGTCGAGACTATGCCACGCTTTCCATGCCCTGGACGACCGTGACGGATAGCGGCCGCGCTGAGGGACCACCACGTGCGCACCCCCCATGGTGTCGAGAATATGCCACGCCTGCTACGCCCTGGACGACCGTGACGGATAGCGGCCGCGGTGAGGGACCACCCCGTGCGCACCCCCTATGGCGTCGAGACTATGCCACGCCTGCTATGCCCTGGACGACCGTGACGGATAGCGGCCGCGCTGAGGGACCACCCCCTGCGCACCCCCTATGGTGTCGAGAATCTGCCGCGCCTGCTATGCCATGGACGACCGTGACGGATAGCGGCCTCGCTGAGGGACCACCCCCTGCGTACCCCCTATGGTGTCACGCCTGCTATGCCCTGGACGAGAAGCGCGCATAGCGGCCGCGCTGTATCTGGATATGCTTATCATGTGGTTGACCTGTATGTGGCGTTTGCCCTGTATGTGGCGCATACGTGCGCGGACGCAGGAGGAAGGAGGAGAATGGGAGAGAGGTGTGTGGTGGGAAGAGACGCGGGTGCGACGCGGCAGATAAGAAAGCCAGAACCCCACTACACATGTAGGGAGTAACAGCAAAGGACCAATGTGACCTGTGTGGCCTGTGGGGCTGTCCGTGGGGCCCCTGGGACCTGTGCGACCTGTGGGGCCCGTGGAACATGTAGGGCCTGTGGGACTTTTGGGGCCTGTGGGACTGGGCCCTTGGGGCGGCGACT